ATTCATCATAATCGTAATTGACGCGAAAAGAAAACTCTACAGGTAGTACGGATATCACAAGGCAAAAGTTACTCTTCAAAATTCAAGTGAAGCAGCTTCCCCTGAAGTAACGGCACTTCACCAGCCGAACTCCAAATAAGCAAAATAATCAGATATTATATTTCAAAAATACCAGTTCGCTGTATCTTCTGAGCCATCGGAAGGCAAGAAACGCTCACTGCACAAATCAGGCGTGACACAGTTCTAAAGCCCAAGAAAATAAGTTAAATAACCTTCTCAAGTACGTGAAACTTCAGATCTTCAAAGAACTTCCCGTGCAGCTCTCCCGTATACAAACAAGGTGAATAGGAACCGTCGGCTGAAACAAAGTCTTTTGCACGAAGAGTATTCAAAACCCCAGTGCATAACGTTCTTGCTCATATAATAAAATTCAATCTAAAAAGAACCGCAGACACAGAGATAAAACAGAAAAGGAAAAGAAAGCAAAGGAAATCCAGCAGCCAAAACTTCGTCGAGAGTTCAATGAAGGAGATAAATGGCTGGTTAACGAAAGTGAAGTTTTACAGAAAATAAAAAACAATAGAAGAAATACCAGTCAAGTCTCTATTTTATCACAACAGAAGGGACTACTTTCATTCCATTTAATTTTCGAAACAAGAAGGAAATGGCAATTTACAAGGTCGCGTAAATTTTGTCAAAGCGGTGAAACAGTCATCAGAATTTCGTGACGGGACTGTGACGACTGTGACGAACATTCACCGTCGATTTCCACGAAAGGATCTCTCTGAACGGGCCCCACGTCGGCGATAATCCAAATCGAACCGTGAAAAACAGTTATTAAAAGGTCGGATGGGTTGATGACCACTGACATTATCACTGACGGTAGCTTTAATTAAACAGGCTTTGGCGCAGTCTATATTGAATGACTGATTCCATTTGGAGAAAAAGTCAACTGATTCTCCACTGGATTTTTTTCCTTTGAATGGGATTCCCTACCAATTTGACGCTAATTAATACATTTTGGATAAGACGTCTTAAATTTTGAACTAAATTATATTAGATTGTATTTTAAATCAAAATTTGAGTTTCTAAATTCTTTTTTTTTTTTTTTAAATAAATTTTATATTTATGAATTTCTTAAACTAAAACCCGAACCACAACTTTTAAATAAAATAAATTAAAATTATTTCTTTAAATTTGTATAAAATTGTAAATAAATTTTCAAAAAATAGGAAAATACCCTTTTATATATTAACTTATAACTTTTTCCTTAACACACTTAATTAATTATTTATTTTATTTTTAAATATAGTAAATATTAGTTTTTTAGAATAATTATTTTCATACAAGTACATAACTATATGTTTTTTAAATGGCTGATTGCTCTAAAGGTCATAGCAAGACATTATTAAAGAAATAATAATGATAATAATAAAAAATAATTAAGTATTAAATTTTTTTAGTTGTAGAAGTAAAATTTTTAGCATAGAAAAATATGGTTCATATTGTGTTTGGTTGATTTTTACTTGTCGTGTACTTTTGACTCTCAACCTTTAGTTTATCTTTTGTTTTCTTTTAATTGGGTTTGACATAATTAAGAGAACAATAATATTATTAAATTAAATAAATGAAATATAAAATGAAAAAAGAGAAAAAGAAAAAATTAAAAATTAAAATAAAAATTGAAGCGTATG